AACTTAGATCTAAAATTATTTTATTTTTGGATGAAAGGTTTTTAAATTAGCATCTAAAGACAATTTTCATATCACATGCAGGAAAGTATTGGATATTATTTAAGAGAAATGACAGCAGAACCCTGCCTTTTGCTAAAATCAATAAATAACATTGTGACACATGGATATTGTAAGCCAGAATTTTTCATTCTGCTGCCAATAGCAACCTGTGACCCGTGACACAGGACAGCCATAAGAACCTCTTCTTAGGGTTGTCATGGAATCAAGCTTTTCAAAGGTCTGCGCCAGGGCACCAACTGATTTTTATTTTATGCCTTTTGTAAAAGCCCATACAAGTTTCTGTTGGCTGCTTGATTGATTTTGTTGTTTGGATGGTTTTCTCCTTTAAAGTATTTTAAAGCCACAAAACCCAGCACTTAAAGTATGTTCATCTAGCAGATAGGTCTGAGTAGTCTAGAATAGAGCTAATAGGGCATATTTCTAATTATCCTCATATAACATTTAAGTTAAAAATAGAAGAGTCCAGTTTCAGAAGAATGAATAAAATAGAAGACACTTAATTCCCTGTTAATTTAATCTCACCATTTGTAAAGTCTTTTCTAGCTCAAACATGGTATGAATTCAGTTTCAAAAAAGTCTGGTAAATGAACCATAGAAACAATACTGCATTGATCAGGGTAATGGGTTGAGTGAGACGTAATGAGTATCAGTGATTCCATCTCAGAAGTATCTGGCTATTAAAGGCCAAAGGTCAATTACAGCTACCAGCTACTCAGATGTTTTCATTTCAGATACCAGATAAACGAGTTTGAGCAGAATCTGGGCTTGTAGACTTGAATCAATACAGTTGCACAAGAAATACACTTTAGTGTCTTATGCTAATGAGGCAAGCAACCCATTGTTTCCTCTAGCTTCTTGAGTTGATCTAAGAACAGTACTTATTAAATAGTAGTTGCCCTTTGCATGAATCCCTGTACCAGTAGCTTGCTATCATCCTCCTAGGATGATATCCATCCAGGCCTAGGGACCCTAGCCATGCATGAATTTTGTGCACTGGGTCGTTAGTATAAACATAATAAAAAGTACTAGGAAAAATAATTACAAAAGTAAGAGATAACAATGATTACAGCATATCTTCTCTTTTCCTTCTGTAAATCTGTTTCTGTTTTGTTTCATTTGGTTGTTTGTTTTTTGTATTTTTTACATCCCACATCTCAGTGAAATCATGCAGTATTTTGTCTTTGTCTGACTTATTTCACTTAGTTTAATAATCTAGGTTTAGTGCTTATAAATTATTTTGAGCAATGTTTTCCTCATGTTTTAAGCAACTTTTCAAACTACAGTTAAAAAACAAAATCTCACTTCAGCAGGGAACTTCTGCCTCTGGGAATGCTTTTGTACATTTCCACCACCAAACCTCCTCTGAAGGAAGGCTAATTGCAGGTTTAGATATGCACCTGTGTGAAAATTAACTTTTAAGCAGCCTTTAAAATAAATGGCTTTTAATTATTATCATTACGCAAAAACTGTATAAATGCCTTTAATTGTACTTATAAAGTAACATTTGCTATAATCACCTCTAATATCTGGGAGCAACCAAAAAGGTTTTATTTTTTTTTATTATAAAAAAAAATAGATGAAACCGTTCTTATTGATTCACAGGTCATTTTAGTTTATTTTAAAAGCACAAACGTTATAATTGAAATACGTGGACTGATAAAATTTAACATGTATTGACTAATAGTTAAATTTAAAGACCTTGAAAATAACTTTAATTACTGGAAGATTAAAGGTCAAAGTACAAAATATTCAACTGTGACATTGAACTTTATGATTAGATTCAGCTTAGGTAATGGGCATAACATTTTTATAGAGAAGTATGATTGAGCATACACTTTTTAAAAATAAAAATGTTTTACTTATTTAAAAATTAGTTGATGCTAATGAGACCAAGGGAGGAGGAAGTGAAACCAGGAACCCAGAGAGGTGGAGTTACTAAGACACTCCAACTGGGGTGGGAAGGAAGGGTGCGAGAGAGGCATGAACTTTAAAATGTATGGGTATTGCTAAAATAGACAGTGTGCGGATTACCAATCGCAAGGCAGTAAGGCAAACATACACACAGAAATAGCAAGGGCTCCCTTCCCTCCTCCCTCGGTGCAGCACACAATAGACTCCCGCGTTCCTGTGGTGGGGGAGGCACATCCCGTGTGCCCCCCTGGCTTATGGCCATGTGGGCCCCACACATGGACTGTTCGACTTAATGAACTTGGACACTAGACTATTCCCGACTGTAAGTTCCGGACACTGGCCTGCTCCTGGAGCCTGCTCCTGGAGCCTTTTCTCGGACTGGCTTCTCCCGATAAACTTTGGTTCCATTAACTCTTTAGTCTGTGGCTTCCTTCTTCAATCTTTCTGAGACATTCTTTAATCTTTGCATGCCCCTACTGGCCAGTCACACCCACAACCAGGGCATGTGCCCCAACCAGGAATTGAACAGTGACCAGTTGGTTCATGGGTAGACACTCAACCACTGAACCACACAGGCCGGGCATGTTATGAAATTTCTGTTGTCTCCTCAAAAAAATCACATTGCTTAAAATTGCTGTGTGTGTCTGCAAGTGAGTCAGAGAATAACTTTTATTTTCACACAACTTTATTAAAACACAAATGTACTACAGGTCTATTTTTATTCAACCTTCACCAAACAATTTTTAGAAAACACTTGCAAACAATCAAAAACACCTTTAAAGCATCAGCTTGAGGTAGAAAGGATGGAAGGGGTGGGAAGAGAAACAGTATTCTGTGATAATATAGGGTGGCATGGCAGCTGATTCATCTTCAATTTTTCTTTTGATAGTTTTCCCTTCTCCAGCTACTTTTAAAAAGAAATGTGAACCCTAACCAGTTTTGCTCAGTGGATAGAGCATCAGCCTGCAAACTGGAGGGTCCTGGGTTTGATTCTCGTCACATGCACATGCCCAAATTGTGGGCTCCAGTAGGGGCCATGCAAGAGGCAGCCAACCAAAGATTTTCTCTCATCATTGATGTTTTTATCTCTCTCTTCCTCTCTCTTCCTCTCTGAAATCAATTTAAAAAAAATATATATATATATAATTTTTTTGAAAAAATAAAATAGAAATATGTAAAGAAATATGTGTGAGATAAAGAAATAGTGTTTTACAAACAATAAAAAGTTTTATTTGGGGCTAGGAAAAATATTATTCTAGGCAATTATTTAAAAAGCTATTAGAGTATTGATTAGATTAAGTGAACTATAAGATTTATTTTTAATATTATATGTAATCAAAAATATAGTAATAGTCATAACACTCTGATGTTAATTTATTGAATCATGTATGTTTACTTATGAATGAAAAATTTAAATATGTACATTATTGACAAATATTTTTAACAAACTCCAAATGGAAGGTGCAAAGCTCTGTCTTGCCAGGGATCATAATAATTCCTACTGTAAGAGAATTAAAGATAGAAGCTGTAATTTGTAATTGTATTTTTGCACTCCTGTTTAAAATTATCCTCAGCCTTTGTTTGGAAGTGTAAAGGTAACACATCCATCCTTGCTGCATCAAAGATCGTCTAGTCCACAATGATGTGAGAACTTCCGAGTTTGGCATCAATCAAGATTCAGTTTAGAAAACAAACACTATTCTGTCTTTTTACTAAAGGATATTTATCACAGGGAGTTAATTACACAGATGTATTAGATGCATGTGGTTTAATGCTTTAGTACTTCCATTAGATTTGCATGATCCCATGCTATTTTACTGAATGGATATGAAGGAGTTCGAGTTAGTTTGCTGTCTTCCCCTGTAATATTTTAATATTATATACTTGGGAATGATAATGCTTTTAAAGGACTATTTTTATTTTTTTTAATAATTAACTACATATTTCAGTAATAATTACAGAATGTATATCGATTTATCTTTACCAAGTATGTTTTGTCAAATACATATCTATCTATAATAATAAAAGGGTAATATGCTAATTAGACTGGATGTCTTTCGGACATCCTTCCTGATGAAGTCAGGGCTGGAGGGAAGCCAGCATGGGTCCAGGTTTCTGTGGGTGGCCTGAGGGAAGCCATCCTGGGTGCCTGAGGGTGGCCAGAGGAGGGAAGTAGCCCGGGACCTGAGTGCCTGCCAGCAGCTGGAGGAGGGAAGCCTGAGTGCTGGGAACCAGAGGAAAGCCAGTGCTGGCACCAGGAGAAGGAAGGCCTACTCTTGCATGGATTTTCATGCATCAGGCCCCTAGTGTAACATAATATTTAATTAAAATATTTGTTATTATATATCTCTATCTATAGTGTATATCTAAGAATTGGAAAGCTTCTAGAAATTAACTAGTCTACAGAACCTTAATTTTAAAATGGTGACACTGAGAATTTCTTTTAAATATTTAACAAATGTGTTCTAATTTTTCACAATATCAGTCATTTCCTTGTCAAAAATACATGTGCATATTCACACACACACACACACACACACACACACAAGGCTTGAGAGGGCATAAGAATTTAAAAATGTATAAGTAAAGCAAAAATCTTTCACTGTACATCTCAAACAAATCTCCAGTGCACTCTCTTCTTCATCTCATATACTCTCTTCTTCATTTGAAATGTACATATTTATAAATTTGAGCAGCATTCCCACTGTGGGAGAACTCTGACCACCAGAGGGAAGCTCCTGCATTGAGCATCTGCCCCCTGGTGGTCAATGTATGTCATAGCAACTGGTTGTTTTGATGGTGGTTTCACCATTTAGTTGATTTGCATATTAGGGTTTTATTATATAGGATTTAGTTAAATGATGTCTAGAAGATACTTTAATTGTTATAATTTTAGGATGATAGGATACAATGTATAAATTATAAATAAATAAAATACATGACTAATTAGAAGTATTTCACTTTTAATATAGGTAAACTTTTCACAACAAATTGAAATAATATAAGACATTATATACTTGTCAATAACATTTTGACAATAAGAAAAAATTAACTGCTATCAAAATAATGTGTAAAATTCAAGTGACTTAAATGTCACAATTTTAAATATTTACTTTAGGATTCAGATATTCTAATTGTTTTAAGGCAAAAGTATTATGGAATATTTAATGAAATAAATTATTGCCCAAGGATCAATTCCTTACAAATATATTGGATGCCATTTTTCATTACTTATGTCTTTAATTTATGTTTTTAAATTGCCTCAACTTTATTACTCTAAATTTAGCTAGATTATACAATTTTATATTTTTATTTAGTAAAAATACTGTTATTTGTGAATTTTTATAACTTAATAGTCAACCATCATTAATGGAGTCCAAATTATATTTTTCCTACATAAGAGATTAGACCAATTTTTTTTTTCTTACAGTATGAATGGGATCATTGCTGATTTTCTATGCATATAAGAATTAAATTTCTTCAGATAAATTTTATGTTTCTTTTGTGCCCACAAAGACATTTGGATACTCATCAGAAGTGTGAAAATTCCAACTAGAAGAAAAAACAAATAATTACCCTTTCTTATTTTTGTGATGGATATAGCAAGTTATATTATTTAAAAAACTATCACATATTACTCTTTAAATATTTCTCAAATGTTTCATAGTTTTCTATCAATTTTATTTACTCACATTAATTGCCTAGTTTATATATATTCAATCAATATTTATTGCGTGGTTTCATAAGTAGAAAAAGTACATAGCACAGATAAAAATAAACCCATATTTTTATATCACATTACCAAAAATATTACAACATAAAATTTATTTTTCTCTGAATTATTAATATAATTTTAATATGCATGTAATATACATCTGCACACATACATACAATACATATGACAAACCATATTATTAAAAAAAATGTTTGCAGTGACATAAAAAATGGGTGTTATGGATATTATAAATATTTCTTCTAATACATGCTTAGAAATCTGAAATAAAAATAAAGGCATAAAATCCTTTTGCAAACATGTTAAACTTTTAGTACCATATAGTAACTTCTTCTCAGAAATCACTTCTAAAAATACATTCACTTCAATTGTCAATAATGCTAGGTCTTACCTGGCAGTGTTTGTGTCATTACTGTGAAACTAATCCATGATCCAATCTGTTAGATTAAAACATAAATTGACATTTATCTATGAGTTACCGACTAATTTGTTCAATTGTAACGTTAAATAGGTAATCTGAAACTTCAAACACATTTAAAAAAGTATAGATAGAAATAAATTTTCCTAAAATAATTTGTGTTAAATATAATTAGATCGTAAGAAATTCTTTAAAACAGCATCATATTCATAAGAAAATGGAAGACATTGTTCCAAAAACTCTCACAAAAATAAAATCTTAAAACATCTCCATACATTGTACATGAAGACTGTAAAATTTTATTTAAATATATGCGCAAATATTCTTTTTTTCCCAGGGAAAATTGTGGTTGAAATGTTCCAATTTTCTATGTATATACATGAATTTAAATCATATCATCTTTTACTAGAGGCTTGGTACACAAAATTCATGCAGGGGGAAGTATCTTTCAGTCTAGCCTGCACCCTCTCCAATCAGGGACCCCTTAAGGAAGGGATCAGGCCCAAACCGGCAGTTGGATATCCCTCTCACAATCCAGGACCACTGAGTCCTAACCGCTCTCTTGCCTGCCTGCTTGATCACCCCTAACCCGTTTGCCTTCCTGCCAGATCGCCCCTAACCCCTCTGCCTGCTGACCTGATCACTCCTAACCACCTCTGCCTGCCAGCCTGATTGCCCCAACCACCTCTACCTTCAGGCCTGATTGCCCCTAATCACCCTCCCCTGCCAGCCTGATTGCCCCTAACTGCCTCTGCCTCAGCCCCTACCACGGTGGCTTTGTCCAGAAGGAGGACCAGATGACCAGAAGATGTTTGCTTGACCCAATCTAATTAGCATATTACCCTTTTATTAATATAGATAACTCTGACTACATTATATCTATAGATAAAACATATATTATCATATATTAATCCACAACACAGGTAAATACATAAATGTAAATAGTTATTATATCACCAAATAAAAATATATTACATAAATATATAATAGCATACCTCATAGGTATAGTTAGGACATGAAACCAGGAAAAACATCCATGTGAAGGGGTTGTAAGTTGGACTTGGAAAACAGGCATTAGTTCCTTTCATCAAAAAGAGTAAAATGTCAATTATGCTATATGTTAAAAATTTGAACATATATTTGTTACATAATTCTAACTCCCTAGAACAACTATATACCAGATAAAATGTCATCATGTATTTATAGAAACCTATATCACAAATTACTCAGAAGAAAACCATTTTCAAATGTTATGACCTTTTGACTCAAATAGAATACTTGTCATTTTCTGACCATGTCTAAGTTATGTTGCTGTAAAATCACAGAATAAACCATGATAATTACTTCTTTAAGAATTTAAATAAAACAAAATATAAATCTTACTTTAAATAGCATAATAGTTGTAGTGGCATTGGATGCTGAGATTAATAAATTCATTCTAATATTTACCTTCCTCTTTCTGTTCTCTTTTAGTATCAAAGAAGATAATTTTGGTTGAGATTATTAAATATCTCAAATGTTCTTTTCTATTAAATTAGTGAAAATCTAAAAGGAATTTTATAAGGTTGTCATTTATATGAGAAAATTGTACAAATGTATAATAAGATGATTACAATAAATATCAATATAGTTAATATTCAGAAATACCATATAACATATCCATTCAGCAATCATGATTGTTATTTATAGCTCTCATTATTTTTAGTATATTGTCACTTGATTGTTGTCAGTTATATCTCACTTTTCAAACTTTTTCAAGAACCATTTTAGATAACAGTTTTATAATAATTTCAAGTTGAACTTTGAGCCTTGACATTTGTAAAAAGTAAATGTGAATTATATTACTATTTATTCTCCATAGCAAGATTTAATCATATAAACACATAAACTAATCTCTTTAGTTATAATTCTAAAGTCATAATGAAATGTCAATATGTTTTCAAAATTGTAATTATTGTTAAAATAGCAAAGTAAAAAACATATTTGGTTCTGGGCATATTTCATGCATTGCTCATTTAAAGATAAGAATAAATGTGCATGCCATTTAATATTAAGATTACCTTAGTAACATTTATATAAACATATTTGTGTAGTACCCATATGTACATCAAAAGAAATATGATTGAAAAAGCCATTCAAATCATAGTAACTGAATTTCAGAGGTGAAATTTGTATACAAGATAATCAGTGTTAAAACCTCCACTGTATGATTTACTACTTCAGGAGGTACAGGTGATCAGGGATCCACAAATACAAATTTCTTCCAGATGTAGTTTATAGATTAAATAACCAATATGTGTGCTGTGACATAGAAACATGTATATAGTTATTGTCTTAACTGTAGATATTTGTTGTTAATTGTAATAATAGCTTAGCTTAGATATTGTTAATTTAATTCATTCCCATCATATGTTTTCTCAATCTATACTTAACCATCTATATATATAGAAAGCCAATGACCAGAATGCCATAATTACCAGAACAACCAGTTGCTATGATGCCCACTGTGGTCATACCTTACACTGATCTGGGGTGCCAGCTGGCCAACCTCCCACAGCCCCTTTCCCCAGCTGGCCCCACCCCCGATGGATTCCCACCACCCCCAGTCAGCCCCCAACCCCTCCCTCCAGTCAGCTCCACCCTGATTGGCTGCCCCCACACCAATCAGGGGCAGGGCCTGCTGGCCAATTGCCCACAGCCCCTCACCCAGGCGGCCTAACCCTCACCCTGTCCTGATGGGGCAGGCTGGCTGGCCAACCTCTGCTATCTCCTCCTCCTGACAGGCCTGGTTTCAATCTGCTCCAATTGGGTCTGGACCTGCTGGACCCCTTCCATGCATAAATTTGATCACTGGGCCTCTAGTTTATAATAAACTTCTTATAATAAACTTCTTTTAAAATTAATGTCTGAAGGTTTATTTTACATTACAGTGCCTCACCACCTAAAATTTTTAAGCATAAGGGTTACTCCACCACTTCAGGGAATATTGCTGACAGGGAACCCTTGGCACTCCCTGTGAAGGGTGCGTGGTTGAAAGGAACAATCTCACCCAAGATTACACTCACTTTTTTGTTTAGTCCTTTTTTTTTTTTAATTTCTCTTTATTGTTTAAAGTATTACAGATGCCCCTCTTCTATCCTCCCCACTGATCCCCTCTTCCCCCCTCCTCCTTTAGGCCTTCACCACACTACTGTCTGTGCCCATGGGTTATGCAAAAGTGAATATCCAATATTTGATCAATATATCACATTGATGTCTCAGTCTTAGAACATTGTTATTTTATTCCAACTTTATAATGGTCTATAGGTTCGTCTGAGACTCTCATTGGTACTATATTGCTCTCAAATATGATTTCCTACCCCAAAACGATTTTTTTTTCCCCATTTACAAACACACTCTTTAACACATCTCCTGACTGCTGATTCCCATACAAACTTTGTTTTAGAGAACCCATTGTTAGGGCATATGATATAATTCAAATATTTGGAAAACTTAGGCATTAAAGGTTACAGATTAGGACATATCTTAAATATTTTCAACTATTGCTGTTTGCCATTCAAAAATAGTGTGTGTGTGTGTGTGTGTGTGTGTGTGTGTGTGTGTTTTAATTACATGTAGTCAGTATACAATCTTATGTTGGTTATATTAGTCTCAGATGTATAATAAAGTGGTTTGACATTTGTATACCTTACAATATGATCACCCTGCTAATTCTAGTAATTATCTGTCTTCATGTAAACTCATCAATATATTATAGAATATATTCTCCTTTCCCTTTTTACTCATACCCCATTCTCTCCCTTCTGATAACCATCTCTTAGTCCCTGTTTTTTGTGAATCTGTTTTTGTTTTGTTTGTTTTCTTCCACATATAAGCGAAACCATATAGTGTTTGTCTTTCTACTTAAGGCTTTTTAAAAAATACAATGTAATTAACTGTAGAATAGATTAAAAGGAAAAGGCACTCACCTGTGTGGTTGGGATGAGCCAATATTACATTGATGAAATGATTTCCAGCTTCACAAATCTGCAAAATATTTTTTTAGTGTGATATACTTGTGCCTCTTAAAATATATATTCTACAGATAGATAACTATCCAGGCAATATATTAACCCTAAAAATTCAGTATTTTATTACTCTAATTGAGTAAGAATAGGAAATTTTGCATCATCACAGTAAAAGAAGTTGTGGTAATAAATAGAATCCAAATAATGTCACATGGAGTTAGAAATTCTGAAAATATTGTTGACCATTTGTTAAGTAGGTTCAAATTGCCTAATAAATCATGTTGTGTTGATTATCTGGCTTGTACTTGTTACAGGTGTACACTTTATGTCATGAAGAAATAAGTCATGCTGCTAAAGATAGTCTTGACATTGGTTTACATTTTTTAAATTTATTAACACAGTAGCAATCCAGTTTGATTCCCAGCTGATTTTAATTGAGATAATGAGTTTAGTTAGGAGTAACTCAGTTTTAGCTGAAAACCTAAGTATGATTATAACCAATTATAATAAAATAAATATATAATATTTGAATTAGATATACATAATTAATTTCTTAAGCTAGTTTTATAAAAAAATATATTAAAAAAACAGGAACTCTAAACAAATTCAGGTATAATATTTAATTTCTATGCATGCTATTATTTATATTATCTCCCTCAGGATTTGAGAGGAAACTAAAATGACAAATGATTGAAAAACAGAGAATCTTGGATTTTTTGTTTTCAAGAAAAAGTAAATACAAACTTTTTATTGTTGTTTACCAATCATAGATTATCAGAAATATTGTCACCATCAAATTAAAACAGAGTGCTGAGAATGAAAGCACTTCACATTGGCACACTTTACTTCCCTCTCTCATCTTATCCATAAACACCAAATATTCACAAGCAGTTTCCTAGCCCAGTGGTCAGCAAACCGTGGCTCGCGAGCTACATACATGTGGCTCTTTGGCCCCTTGAGTGTGGCTCTTCCACAAAATACCATGTGCAGGTGTGCACATACAGTGCGATTGAAACTCCATGGCCTGTGTGCAGAAGTCGGTTTTCGGCCTGGGCGAGTCTATTTTGAAGAAGTGGCGTTAGAACACTCAAGGGACCAAATAGAAAATGAAATCATAAGGAGGATAAGGATGAGAAAAACAAATCAGATGTGATCTAAAAACACATCTAAATAAAGATCAAATGTGTCCTTTTTGTTTTGTTTAACCATTAATTCATTCTTCCATTTGCTCAAATTTATTAAGCAGTTTACTCCACAGAGAGCATTAGACTTGGTGTAGCATAGTTAGCAATGAAAGTATCAGTATAAATTACTGCATGATGAGTGCTGGGAGGAGAGGGATAGATGAAAGTGAAAAGGATATGGAGGATAAATGGTGATGGATGGAGACGAGTTGGGGTGGTGAACACACAATACAGTGGACAAATGAATTGTGTACCTGAAACCGGTATAATTTTGTTAACCAGTGTCACTCCAATAAATCCAATAAAAGGGGGAAGGGTACAAAAGCTCGCAAGGATGTAAAATAGCATAGGGAATATAGTCAATGATATTGTAATAATTATGCACGGTGGTGCCAAATGGTACTAGACTTACCAGGTTGATCACTTGGTAAGTTAGATAGAATGATCTTAAGCACTAAACTGAGGACAATTAGGAAATACCCATGTATCATTTTTAAAAAGCTGATTATGTTTTCATAATTATGTTTTAATTATTATGCTAACGTAGATGTTCATATGTTAAACTTGTAAAACTTTTCACTTTTATATAAGTTGGTAAATTTGCAGACAATAAGAATTACTGAGTATATTTTTTTCCCAATCTTACTATCTTTAAACTAATTCTAATTATCCTTCATAGATGAGTAGGACATTTTGATGAAAAGATTTAGAGAACTAATGACTTAATGAAAAGTCATTTTATTTACTTCATTTAATACCATTTAGCACTCTATATAGAAATAGGTCACATTATCAAACAAATAATCAAATATATTCTTTTGCATTTTTAATAATACTGCAATTAGAGCATGACTAGCTAATAATAATGCATACATACATACATGCATACATACCAGAAAATTAATAGCTGATACTGTGACTTGCCTGTTTCCATATGCTAGAAAGGAAGAGAAGATGTTAAGTAAGGACTCATATTTTGGAATGTCATATGGTACACATAATTCAGAAAAGGTTCAGTGGATATCACTACCCTCTAATCAAAGGTACTATGGGTCATATAATTGACTTTTTGGAATGATACCCTTACAATCTAAAAACTTAATACAGTGTCCTAATGTCATGGGGAAGTTGGAATATACGAAAGTACTAAAACGTGAATTATCTGATAAGCTCACCATTTGTTTTAACAATTCCATTTCTTTCTTTCAGTTTTATGTGACTGTGTAGACATGCAATTTAGTATGGGGTTAATTAAGGAGAAATTCTACGTACATGGTGGTGTATACCGTGGGTGATTAATGTAGTAGGCAATCCAAGAAGTGAATCCCCAATAAAAGGTACAGCCCTACAAATAACACAAAATAACATTTAGGTTTAATATATATATTATATATATATATATATAGATATATATATGTATATATATATATTAAGAAGGATAATTCCCTTCTTAAATATATATATATGTGTGTGTGTGTATTCCATTGTTTTAAACCATTCCATACATTTATATGTCACACTACAATAGATTTACATGAAAAAATGGTATACATTTTCTAAGTTGGATAAATGAAATGATTCTTCATCCAGTACATTAGCATTTTAAAAGTATCTATTTAATATCATTCAAGTAATGCATTTCTTTGCTCAAGCCTTATTAATATAAATAGGTATTCTTGAAATGTAAGTATATTTTGCAAGAATAATTTTGTCCATCCAGTAAGAAATATGAATTAATAAAATAATAAATTATACATTAGATAAAATATATCAATAATCATTTCCCAAATGTAAATGAACAAAAGAATGAATTTTTGAACCATTAGTAGTAATATATGTTGATTGATTAGAAAGAGTGATTGGCTAATTTTAGAAGTCCTAAGCTATAACATCGATCTTGCCCTGTATAATACATTTTAATACCTCTGTCAAAAGAGAAGCTAGTCTAAATGATTTATGAGGTTTCTAAGAATTATAGAATTCAGTGTTTCTTTACAATGACAACAATGGAATGGCTGCCTTATTCAAATTTTTAGCAAACAAATATTTGGAGGAAAAAGGAAGATTTTAGTAAGGATATATTAATATTGAAAGTAAAATTTGAATTGCAAAATAAAATTTAATTTGAATTGGAAATTTGAATTGCACCATGTTACCTAATGTATATTTTCATTTCAATGTTTCAGAAAATTTCCTATTTTCTTGATAGTTATTTAACAATAACTGTTGAATTTACCTTTTATTTGAAGAACAAAAACATAAAAAAAATGGGTGCAGTATCATTATTTTAATCACACGAATGTATATTTATAGGAGGGTTCATATATGAGATTCTTTCTCTTTTTCAATGCTAAGTATTTCCAAAATAAAAGATTTCTATATACTGTTACTAGTTGAAGGTACCTCCAGGAAATGGCATTTCAGAATAGATTGTTTAAGATATGCTTATTATTAGACACAAAAAAAAACACACACAAAAAAACATAAGACTTGAAGAAAACAAACATGATTGAATTATTTTGCAAATAATTCAATACACAAAATATCTCAATAACAATTAAAATTGTAAAACATATTAATCCTGACCTTTATCAAATTTTTCAATGGTGTATGCCCTGCAGAAACTTTGTGAACAAATAAGGTTTCCAAAAGATATCGAATATAGTGTATACAATGACAGAAGCAGGCCAAGCTAGAAACAAAAACAAAAACATGAACATGTTAAATTCCCTTCTTAAAATATGGCTTACCTTATGCATTTCTTTTTTTAAGTTCACTCTGATATTTTATTTTAGGAAATATTGTTTCCAGTAACCAAAACACAAGTGTTTTTTTAATACTTTTATTCTAGAAATTTAAAAACGTATTTAAAATGAAAGTGTTCTTAAAACATTCTATAAATTTACTTCTGATGACACTAGAAATATATTATATACCCATCATAGGCTACTATATGTTCAGACCTCCTCCAGAATATACATGAATATAATAATTGAAAATAGGCTCATATATCAAAATGACTCTAAATTGAAGCAGATAATTTGCAAGTTTTAAAAATATCCAAAACCTACTTAGAATGCATATGACATTTTATAATATTCAGAGTAACTTCTTCATTGTCTGGTTGTCCTTTAGCAAGTGCCATAAATTAAGTTTGAATTTCATTTTCTATGGAGACAATGCAACTTGTGTGTTTTTTTGTTTTTGTTTTTTTCTTTTGTTTTGTTTGTTTGTTTGTTTGTTTTTTTACTTTATCTTATCTACAAAGTAAGTCACAACAGAGCTTCAAAGGAGGCAGTGTATCAGGAATTCTTGAAGAGGAATATGAAAGCAACAATCAGACAAAAGTTGAAGAGAGAAGAGATTTTGCTAATAATGGACATTGAATTTTTGGGTCATTGTAGAAGAATTCCAAGAGTTGGGGATGACTTAGAGAAGGTAACAAATAGAGGACAGTAGAGTGTATTGAAATAGATAATGTACATGAAATTTAGTGTGGGGTTAGTTAAGGAGAAATTCTACATACATGGTGATGTGTCTGAGGGATGCTCTGAAAATATGGAATTAATGAGGTGGGTGAACTAAACAGAGATAATATATCTAAATATCTGACATGTCCTCTTGCATTTAAGGCAGACAATCAAACTATGGATGCTTAGTGCAGGAAAGGTTTCTCTGGTGTCCTTTTCCATTCTTGAGGATGCAGCAAGAAGCTGTGAGGAGGTGTGGTCTTAACCACATGCAGCTGGTTTACTCAATCCCTCTGGTGGGAGGGACCATGGTAATGTTGAGTATGGAGCCTCTGTCTTAAATACTATTGATTGAATTGAAGAATAACCATGACATCCAGCTGTAGACCACCTTTTCCCTGCAGACGGACAGAAAGATCCTGTAAGAAATTTAACCTTAGCCATAGTGTGTGGATGCTTCTAAGAATTGTGTGGCTCTTGAGTCACACATAGATCTAAACCTACTGGAAAAATACTTTGTGATTTGATTCAAAGCATTTTGGGAGAATTAACATGAGACTGTGTGGCAAGTAAATATAGCATTTGAAATTTGATCCTTTTAACCATGAGAAAGTATATCATCCATCCTGAAATTAGTTTGCCTGAGGAGGCTTGTGATTATTTTATAGAGCTCTACTAGACTCTTAAATTTCAGAAGCAGTTTGTGTGTATGTTTCTGCTCTGGAATAATTTCATAGAAAGTCAACATATTTGTTATTTTGAACTACATTGCAAAAATACATTTATCACTGAGAGGTTATAAAATATGATGTGTTTGTGTTAAAGAATAGTAACCAACAGTCATCCAATTGCTTTGAGACTATCAGGCGGGGTGGGGGGGGGGGTGTTCCTTTTTCATGCTGTGCTATAAAGCTGGTACATGTTATATCTTTGGTCTAAAAACTGAGTGCAATTGCCTTCTCCTTATGAACTCTTCACTTCATAATCTTTCCAAATGAATTAGTTATTCTCTTCACTTAAAAGAAAGAAAGACTGATGTTATTGTCCAAAGACTCCTGAGCAACCTATTCTATACTGACCTGACCAGCTTCCCTGGAATCTGACTCATCTTTCCAGAAAACAAAAAAGTTCAAATGCAACTTTATTAGGAAAGCTATCTCAGAGTTCCCATCAATGTCAGGTTTTCTCTTTTATACTCTAAAAGAATGCATTGTAAAATAAATAGTATATAATTCTTTCATCTACCTTACCATTCAAAATATTTTTATTGCATATTCCTTGTAAATCAGGCAATGTGTTAAGCAGTGTAGATAGAAGGAACATCAAAGTATATCATAATAAAACTTTAACTCTACAAATTATCACGAATATATAATTTTAAAGTAAAAAAAAGGTACATAGGAAAAACACTTTAGTAGAATATTTGTCATGGAAGGAATCCTAATGGCTACCCTGAGTAAGAAATACTAAGCTTCTATTTGAAATTTGAGTGAGAGATAAGGAAGAGAGAGGAAATGCGGATGGAGGAATAGGGATGGCATATGTAAATGCCTTGTGTGAAAGGGAACATGGGAGGTATAAGGACAAGGAAGGGAGGTCAGTGCGACTAGAGTACAGACATTAAAGGCAAGGAAAAGCATGATTTGAGATGACAAATTCAGCAGTCAAGTCATTCTCTGTCTTCAAGTATCCCTAAGACCTAAAATCTGCTTCTGAAGGCACTTAGAATGCTTTCATTTAATTAGGTTCTTTTGTTAAAATTGCTAATCCTACATTTTTACATCTCAGTGTAGTATCTTGAACAATATTTATCTTTCGTTTGGTATGGAGAAAGAGAAAGAGTGAGAGTGAGAGTGAGAGTGAGAGAGAGAGAGAGAGAGAGAGACACTAATTATTTCCACAAACTGCCATCATTGTAAATTCTGCTTATTTTATTTTTATGACGGTCCTAGTCTTTATTTTTTCCTTTATGTCTTATTTCAAAGTAAAAATTTACTTTGAATTTTTACTTACTAAAGGGAACTTGTAAAAATCCTCCCTCCCCCCTGTTTTTGACCTAGGTAATTATGTATTTCCTATGTGATATTGTCCATATTTTTAGAGAAATATTTCTATTTTATGCTCTATACAAGGCCTTTCCACTTATAATTTTAAACTTTTTTGATATTTCTGGATTTCTCTTGTTAATTATAAGTATTAATAATTTAAGCTGCCTCTATTATAAATTATATTGACTTCCTTGCTTATACTAGTAAATTTGCAAGTTGGTGTATAAACATTATTCATGGTTCCTAAATATATTTCCCTAAAATTGAATGCACTGTAATTGATTGTACAAACAGCACTTATGAAAATAATATCTGCATTCTTGCTCAGCGCTTTAATTTATACGTGCCACATGTATTACTTACTGTACCACTAGGTGGCGGGACCTCCTAGAGCTCTCTTTCGTGTCATATATACATGGGATCCTCAAATAAAAGAGGAGATATATTAACAGGGGTCCTGTGTATTCAGCCAAAAATACCTGAAAGTAAGAAGGTGATTTAAATTAAAGAACACATTTTTATAGATTGTATTAAGGTTTGCTTATTATACCTGAAAACAAGAAAGTAATTTAGATTAAACAATAAATGCTTATAGATGTTATGAAGGTTTGCTCTGACCATAGGTATATCTACAGACTTAGCCTACTGCATGAATTGGTGATGCAAATAACAAGAATGCTCCCTTGGAAGAAATAGCCAAGAAATAAGGAGGACAAAGACACATAGACAGTTTAAAATAAAAGTAATTATTAAACCTAATGTAATGATTTCTTCATAAATAGTACAGGGAGTTTTTGTTTAAATAACCAAACTATTATAGACACGTTTCTTCATGTCTCACAAACACATACATACTTCATTTTCCATGGGAACTGTCCCTGTCACTGAATGGTATAGGTTATTGTGCCTGCCTGTCTTACCTTTTTTTTTTTTTTAGTCTTTTTATAACAATGTAATGTTGAACTTAATTGATTAACCTTGATTCAAATTGATATAATACAATTCTTACTTTTGAAAATTTTAGACTTTAATTCTATGAGTCTGAGTGGGTAATTTAAAGTGTTCCTCTCTGATTCTGGAGCTGAGGGCAACCGTGTATGTGGTGAGAAATATTTCATCTATGGAGAGACAATCGGAAGATTTGGAAATATTATTGGAAACAACACCCTTTTACTGCAAAAGGTTATGCAGCTAATTGCTTTCTGATAGCTTTTCAATCCAATAACTGTCCATTGTTTGGTTTGGTATCTATGCTAAAGCCAGGTTAAAGTTACTCTCTGGAATTTTCAAAGAAGGGAAAGTAATTTACCTGTATGCACTCATGGGGAGGAAAAAGGAGACACACATGGCAAAGATAAATTTCACTGCCATTCCTACCTTGTCTTTGCCAATTTTTATTAATTTCCAAGGAAGAAAACTTGACCATGTTTTTCTCAAATATGCAACTGTGAATATTAAGTACAAATTATATTTTTAATCAGTAGTTGGTGAAAATTTTGTATAGTTATATGGTTACAATATATGATATATATATATATATGTTATATTTATGCACATGCACATAATTATGTATATATATGCACACACATATAGTAGCTATTTATATATGTTGATTTTTCTAGTTATAATTATCCCTTTTAACAATATTTATCATCTCAGAAGACAAGAAAGACCTATACATGAGGATAAAAACAATGTAACATCCAGGGTCCTAGCAAGATAGCTCAGTGGTTATAGCATAGTCCTGCTACACCAAGGTAATGGGTTCAATCCACAGGGCAATTGGGAGCATCAAGCAATGAATGCATGAATAAGTGAAACAACAACTTGGTGTTTCTCTCTCCTCTATCTAAAATCAATAAAAAAAATGTAAAATAAAGCAACCTCTTATAAATTCAGTATAAAAGCAACCTTTTTAATGAAAGACAATATTAACTTGTGGTATGAAACATGCCTGATTATTCAGATATGAAGAAAAATATTTACCACTTTTAAATGTCTACTAAATAGAGTCTAGTTAATACTCTAGAATAATGAGGAAAGTGATTGTTTATTACAAGAAAAAGTTTAAAGTATTTATTTCAACACCATCTAGTCAAAACAAGTTTGAGCAAAACTTCTTGTTACTATATCAGATATGAAAAGTGTCGTGAACAACAGTCAACCTGGACCAAACATCACTCCCTATTAGGTTAATAAAAATGCCATCACAAACGTGAAGTTTTTTTTAGATCAGAGGAAATTAAATTACAATCTTCTCTCCGTCATCTCCTAAAAATAAATTGAGAGAGACAGCTAGCTTATAATAATATGTCCTAGAAGGCTTGATATTCTATCAAAGATATTGTTCATGCAATACTTTTTATGTTTAATCCCATGAAACATGGGGTTAAAACAATATCCAAGAATGAATCACTTGAAAATGACCAGAACTAACTTTTGGACAATGCATCTTTCAAGAAAAAGTCTATTTGGTGCAAATAAAAAGGAGGACATATGCTTTTTTAAACATAAAATATAATCAGAAAATAGTTTCAGAATAAATAAAAAGAAGGGCTAAATATAATAGACAAAAATTAATAATAGACTTCTGAAAAAAAAAAAAAACACGAAAAGCTCTTCTTTCTCTAAAAAAGAGAAAAACCAAAACCAAAATAATAAGCAAGTATGCCAGGTATAAGCCCAAGCAAGTCAGATAAATTTACAAGGACTAGGAACTCTATTATAATTCAAAACTTTATAGAGTTTCTATCATTGGAAAAAGCAGATGCACTTGCTTTTTTGCTGAAGATCTCTACTTGTAAATTACAATTTATTTCCAATATCTAATTATATCTATGTTTCTCCATTATAGAAAGTTGTCTGTATTAAACTAATGTCTTGCTTTTAACATAAAATTCAACTTTTCCACTGCAAAAGTTGATAATTATGATTTCTTGGATCTTTGGAACATGCAAGTTGTTATGTCTAAGTTGACAAAGGAAGTAAGCAATAACAGAACCCCCGTGTGTAAGTTGTGCTTTAATGCATTTCATTCTCTTTTGAAAAAAATAACTTTTTAATTATTAGCTGCTGGATTTACTTATTTTCTAAAATTGAAATTTATATTGGAGAACAAAATGAATTGCACATTTCACACAGGTGTTGAAAATAAAGTAATGCCAACTTTAATTTTCCAAAGATAGGAGACTTAAAAACTAAAATTATGAGAGTATTTCCCAATAGTAACATCACATTGTACTCAGTGAGTGTTATTGAAGCTACTGTGATAGTAGAAGGTTTTTGTTTGTCTATGTGTTTAATTTAATCACTATATGAATAACATATAATGCAGACTTTTATTCAAGGTTATTCAAACAAAGCATTCCAATGAGATCAGTGATAAAAACTGAGCAAAGTATTTTTTAGTCTTCAAAGAGTTACTATCTCATTGAAAAAAATGAGAAAGTTAAAAGACTTTTTAAACAGATCTTTGGTGCAGAGATTGACCTGGGACTTGAAGCCTAATCACAATCTGGTAAGAGCACCAAATCTTCTGAGGGTATCTGAGAATGCAAGAATTTAAAGCTCTTGCTTGTTATCTTTCAAAGGTAGAAGTGGCCTTATATAATCTACAGAATTTTGGTAAAGACAAACATTGGAGTGAAGATAAATATGAAATAGAGCTATCTTTTCAGGGACTGAAGCTCAGCCTGAAGAATTGATTGGGTTAAAACAGTGCCATTGGTCCATCAGTAGAATATAAATTACCTTGAAAGAAGATAACATGACTCTCTGCCTCATGTCATCTTTAAATTTTTTTTTTTTTTACAAAATTTTCTTCACTAAGGCTGAAATATGCAGTTATATAAGGAGTGTAGGTATTGTGATGAAACCAAGAAGAGCAGAAATTCAAAATAAATCAACTGAGGATTCACCTAACAGAATTATCAGAGATATATTAAGAAAAAGAAACTTGTCTTTTATATGTTTAAAGAAATAAAGGACAGCCCTCGCCAATTAAGCTCAGTGGATAGAGCGTTGTCCTTTGGACTGAAGGGTCCTGGATTCAGTTCTGATCAAGAGCACATGCCTAGGTTGCTGGCTCAATCCCTAGCAGGGGTGTGCAGGAGACAGCCTGTCAGTGATTCTCTGTCATCATTTATATTTCTTTCTTTCTCTCCCTCTCCCATCCTCTCTGAAATCAATAAAAATATATATTTTTTAAAATAAATAAAAGACATTTGAGAATTTTAGCAAATATTTGAAAACTATAAAACGAGATATATTTAAATATAATATGAACCCCAGAAGGAGATTACAAAGAGAATAATAAAGAATCAAAGATAACAAGAATATCCTAATTATTTTTTAGGTTAAATATATATATATATATATATATATATATATATATATATATATATAGAGAGAGAGAGAGAGAGAGAGAGAGAGAGAGAGAGACTCAGGACTACATTCTAAAACCAAAGTAGGATAAACATAAACATTACTGTGAGCACTATAGTCAAACTACTGATAATCAATCAAAATAAAATTATAAAGTCAGACACATTAATTTCAAAGACATATAGTAGACTTTTTTAACAGAGCAGTGGACATAAAAAAATAAAAATAATGAAGTTTTGTGAATAAAGATGAAAATTACTGCAAAAATATTTCCCAAGAATAAAAGTTAAATTAACACATTTTAACATGAACAAGAATTGAGAGAATTCATTAGTGGCAGAACTATAAGAAACACTGAAGATGTTCTTCAGGAAGAATAATTTTTCTCCACATAAGCTCACAATTAAAAAGAAAACTAAATTGTCAGAAAAAGATAAATCTAAATAAAATTTGGCCATATAATGTTGCTTTAAATAATATAAACAATTACAATATCCCACAACAATGGGAGATAAGCCTGAGGAGCTCAAGTATGTTAAAAGTCATTCAACTGTCTATGAAGTCTCTTGCCATTAGTAAGCTTTTAAAAAGCAAATTATATTAGTATTTAATATTTTAAGATTCATATTGTAGTGATGTGTGTAACCACTAGAGTTACTAGAAAAGAAGATATAACTACCAAAATAATAGAAAGTCTAGAAGAAAAGAAAGTACCAGAATAAATTCAAAACTGGGCTAGGAAAAAAACAAAACAGAAAATATACTATAAAACACATGAGACTAATTAAAAGAAAATATTAACTTTGGCAATTAAAAACTAGGTAATCCTTTATGATAAAAAGAAACTGATTAAAATGTAAAATATAAAGCTATTAAACTACTGGAAGAAAATATAGGAGCAAAACTGCCAGATTCAGCAGTAGGCAACATTTTATATATGACAAGGAAGGCAAGATCCTTAAGAAAAAAAACATTAATTTGTTTCTTAATCCATTGAAGTTGAAAAAATTTTGCACAACAACAACACAATTTTGTTAGCATGATGAAAAGACAAGTTAGAAACTGAGAGGTAATGCTTATAAACCACATATCAGATAGAGGATTTGTATCTAGAATAGAAAAGGTACTCTTGAAACTCAACAACTATATCCCAGATAATAAAAACTTACCTTCACAGAAATACCTATATACACTGAAATATAATACCTATATTTGTAATAGCAAAATATTGAAAATCACCCAAATGTCTATCAATGTCTGAATGGTTAAACGAACTCTGCTACATCCATACAACTGAATACTATTAAATAAAAAAGAGCTGAGTATTGATACTTAAAACAGCCAGATAGGTCCCAAAAGCACTATACTTATAGAAAAACAAACATCAATCTAAAAAAAATAAAACAAAACTGATTTTGTTAATATAGCTTTCACCACGTGACAAAAATATAAAGATGTAGATTGGTGGTTGTCCCAGGGTAGGGAAGAGAGTGTGTGACAAACAAGGTGACATGCAGGAGTCCCTCTGTGGGCATGGACAAATGCTGGTATATACCAGTATATGAACCTATGCAATAGATAAATTGCACAGAGCAATATGAATGAATGTACAGTGATGAAAACTGTAAAGTCTTTAGTCTAGTCTAGTTATTAGCATTTATATAGTGAAGTCTATAATATTAACTGGTTCTTCTAAGTCTTTCAATAAGTATAATTTTCTCCATAATTCTGCAACAACACACTCTTACTTGATAAAAAATATGAAGTGTTATTTTGGACCTTGCTAAATTAGAGATTGTTTGTAAAAACCCTAATAAACAAAGACAAAACAAAAAAAAAACTTCCCTATGATAATGCTTCTATTCTAGGAATGCATCTTAATATTTTATAAATAAGCAAAAATATTATGTGTGATAAAGAATTTATTTTATTGTATAATTTAGTTGATATAAAGTGGGAGTAGTGTGCATATTTTTAGCATTTAATAGAAGTGACTCATTTGGAGGAAAAGGTTATGTGAACGATAGGATTGATTTAAAAATATCTAGTCTATTTCCAGAGTTCTCTCTGTCACCTAAATGACTCTCCTCTCAGATAGGCTATAATTTTCTAGTACCATTTTCTTAGAATTCCACCTTAGAAATTTTTCTCCTCAGTGCTTATCCAAAGGTGCAGCTGGGGGTTCTAATGAACTCACAGTTAATGCCACTTACTCTGTCTACAACTTCTGTAGACAGAATTCCCTTTTCATCATAAATATAGACAAAGACTCTGAATATTTTAACCACTGCAGATCAAAATCTCTTGTCCAAAATCTCTTTTAGGAAACATCTGTGGATACCACATTTAAGTATTAAACCCTTTGCTTACCCAATACCTGTACCAATAGATTGTTTTATAAACATTATAATACACTTCACAAAGATTCAATATTCTAAACCACATGTGTCAAACACAAGGCCCTCGGGCCAAATCCGTCCCACCAGGCCTTGCAATGTGGCCCGCACCGCGCTGTCATCACTGCACTCCGCTGCGTTTCCATCACAATGACAGTTTATGACTGTTCAGTAAACCATTCGGCCCTCGATTTAGGCTGGATTTTAGATTTTGGCCCCTTCTCTGATTGAGTTCGACACCCCTATTCTAAACTCAGTTTTTAGTGCAACAAAGTAATAGGCAAAAGTTCAAAAAACTTTGGAAACTAAAGTACTAACTATTTAACAAAAAAAAGTGAATATATATATATATATATATATATATATATATATATCATATATAATGTGCAGGAAGATTATATATGTTAGAGGAGAATTTTTTAGAAATGTAGAGAATGAGACAGTATTCTAATGAATTAATACAAACTTGAATTTCTCTTTTTTGAGAATTAAATAATAATGTAAAAATACCTTGTTTGTAATAACTTAAAAATTGATTGCTGTTAGATAAAGGGAAAACTCAAAGCAGTATAGAGGATAACCTTGATTGCTAATGCTTGTATTAATAAAAAAGAAAGACATTTTAAATAGACATTATTAAAAGTGTCATCACATCACAGATATCTAACAGAATACAACCAGAAAAAAAATCTTTATAATCTAAACAATATAAGTAAGCTTTATTTAGCTGAAATATATAATGATTGCATTATTCTTTGCATATCAGTGTCAAAAGTACTTATTAGATTAAACATTTCATTGCCTCTGTTTCTAAATATCACACAGTATTTCTTGTTACTGAATGTATTCCATTACTCATAAATAGCACAAAACTTGTGAACTGGTGTCAAGTGTTTTCTCTGTTTCTGAGTCCTCCAAGTCTATTAGTGTAGTCTTCATTCTTTTAATGATTTGGATACAATCACCCCCACATGAAAGCTTCTCTTCCAGGTAGAAGCCAAACAACACCCAAAGAAGTCTTACTACTTTATGCTTACTTTCCAAAATGCCCTTCCCCTGTTAGACCACTTCTACTGAATATTTTCTCCCCCTTCTTTCCAATTTCCAAAAGGATCTTCTTTATCACCAGGCTCTTGAAAAGAAAGCCGAATAAATAGCATTTAAACTGGCAAGGCATTGGGGGAGCAGAAATGAGGCCATCAGTCACTGGATACACTAGCATATAAAAAGAAATTTATCTTCCTTCTTTCAGTTGTTCCTTCTTCCATTGTTCCAATTCTAGTATGAAATGTTAGCCACTGCTCATAGTAAATACAGACAATTTAACACACCATTCAGTACAATGTTTTGTTTCACTATAAATTATGTGGCAGAGAGATTTCACATCAGCAAATATTTTACATCATGATGTGGGGCATTTGCATTGCATTTTAAACTAATACTTACTGTGGTCCATCTGACCTGCCGACCGAGGTCTGTAAAATAGAGTGTGACGATGGAGGAAGCCGCAACACTTTGAATGGTTATGTAGTCCTTCAGAAAAGGCCCACCTTAAATAATAAGAAACATTATTTCAATACATTTTCAAGCCAAAATGATAAATAAATTTTATGAGCAGCCAACAAAATCTAAGATGAATTTAACACAGAAATTGTTATGTATAGTACATTTTGAAGTGAAATAAAATGTTAATATACCCATTTTATAACATATATCTAGCAAATTTGCAAATGCACCATAACTTTCTAATGCTATCTAAACAAGTAGACTGCCAATAGCTAATATCTTATTGTGTTCTAAGAAAATGTAACATTAGATAATGTGATATAAGGTACTTTTATTTTATGTTTTTAATATATTTTAATTAATCTTTACAGAGAGGAAGGGAGAAGGATAGAGAGCCAGAAACATTGAAACATTGATGAGAGAGAAACACCAATCAGCTGCCTCCTGCACCCCTCCCCAGGATGTGCCCACAACCAAGACCGGAATCGAACCTGGGACTCTTCAATCCACAGACTAATGCTCTATCCACTGAGCAAAACCAGTCAGGAACATATATAAGGTACTTTTAGAGTGTAATTTTGGGTGTCAGTACATAAACATCTAATTGTCTCTAAGTGATTTTTTTATAGGATTAATTAATTTGGGTAAAATTATTTCAATGGTTATTGCAAAGCACTGGGAGAGAGGCCACAGTGGATACTGTGTGAAAAATAGGAGGAAATGAGCAAGGATTATTTAGGAGGAACTGAGAATTTGTCAAGAGGTGAATGTTTGGATTAAAGTGGCAATTGTGTAAATGTTAAAAATTCATCAGTCATAGATATATTTTGAACACAGAGTAGATTTAACTTGAGAAGAAAGGATTCAGTGAGATATTGGTCTTAGATATTTGGCCTGAGTAGTTAAAGAAATACACAGCAAAGATTATCAAGCAGAGAATCCAGCCACATTGTGTTTTCAAGCTAATAAATTAGTGTTATTTTAAGCTGCTAAATTTGTGGTAATTTGTTGCACATCAATAGGAAGCATGTTTCAAGGTAAAGACTTTGATATCCAAATGGTCAGCAATGTCTGTGTGACAATCACATATAACAACATGATATGTTAATAACAAAAAAAAATCTGATGACATTTTTATTCCTTGAAAGTGTACTGAAAACATCTTTCCAACATGGCCTTATGGACATCCTTGGGGAAGTGATCAGTTTCTATTCTTTAATCTATTATTTGCTAACTTCAAGGAACAGAGTGCTGCCATTATGTTTTAAAATGTGGTTCCATCAATATGATATGTGAATAAAACAACCTGATAGGATCCAGACATGTCATTAACTAGAGGCCTGGTGCACGGATCCGTGCACTGGTGTGGTCCCTCGGCCTGGCCAGCAATCAGGGCTAATCGAGGTCATCTCGCACAGTCCTGATCAGGGCCGAATGGGCCAGCCGAGTGGGGAGAGGGAATGCAGAATGTTAGCTAGCCATGGAAGGTTGGCTGTGGAGTGCACTAACCACCATGGGGCAGCTCCTACATTGAGAATCTGCCCCCTGGTGGTCAGTGCACATCATAGCTATAAGCTGGTCATTTGATTGTCAAGTCATAATGGTTGTGGAGGCTTTTATGTACTAGAGACCCAGTGCACAAAATTCATGCACAGAGGTGAGTAGTGTCTTTAGCCCAGCCTGAATGCTCTCTAATCTGGGACCCTTCTCACAATCCAGGACTGTTGGCTCCCAACTGCTCACCTGCCTGCCAGCCTGATCCCCCCCTAACCACTCCTGTGCCAGCCTGATCAATGCTTAATTGCTCCCCTGCCAGCCTGGTCACACCTCACTGGCCTCTCCCGCTTGCCTTATCTCCCACAACTGCCCTCCCCTGCTGGTCATCTTGTGGTGGCCATCTTTAACCACATAGGGCAGCCATCTTGTGTGTTGAGTTGAAGATCAATTTGCATATTACCTCTTTATGAGATAGGATAGATTATACCACTCTTAAACTCAGTTATCAGGGACCCCTGTCTTTGGTATTCCAGGTCTATGTCCTTTTCTTCTTTTTTTATATTTTATTTTATTTTTTATTTATTTTATTATTGTTTTTTTGTTTTTTTTTTACAGAGAGGAAGAGAGAGGGACAGAGAGTTAGAAATATTGATGAGAAAGAACCACTGAACAGCTGCCTCTTGCACACCCTCCCATTGGGGATGTGCCTGCAACCAAGGTACATGCCCTTGACCAAAATCAAAACTGGGACCCTTCAGTCCACAGGCTGACACTCTATCCACTGAGCCAAACCGGTTTCGGTGCCTATGTCCTTTTCCAAAGAGAGAGGAATATATAGGGTCAAGGGAACATGTCTAATGTGAGCCCGTACCATTATTGCCTATGTCACTTCAGCCAATTAAGAACCTTAAGACTTGGCATTTCCTCTCAATAGGAGTCCAGCCTGAGGGTTTGTCAAGGCTCTTGTATAAAGGGTGTGGATGGTTAGAGCAGTTATAGGAAGACATAGGCCAACTTTCCTGATGCTTCACCTTTCTAGTGTCAAAAGCCAATGATTCCAGGAATCAGAAATTCAACCCTCTACTTCCAGGACATTAATCAAGTGAGAAGAGAGCACACATTTGAGTTGCCAGTTTGTATGACAGGTTTATTGCAACCATGGCTACAATTCTTCACAGTTTCTATATCCATCAACTTTCAATATGACTCTTAGTTCCTCCTAATTCAGTAGGTCCTCAGGTTATGTTGGAGATCCATTCCTACTATGCTACATAATGCAATTTTCACCATAAGTCAGAACCCACCCACATAAACAACTACATCACTTACATGGAGCATATACACAGCAGTAATGAAATGAAACAGTAAAAACATTTAAAAGAAAGATAACAATTCCTGACCTTTACTTGTGATAAATAAATAATAGAAAACATAAAGCACATATGTACCTATTTTCCGGCTTATAAGGTGTATAAGACGACCCCCTAATTTTACAGTTAAAACATGTACACTGTGTTCTAGTAAAAAACCTGCTCAGATTGGCCAGAGTCAGAGAGGCGGTCTATTAAAAAAAGAACTGGTGTTGCCTCAGAAGTGGGGGGTAGTCTTATACAGTGAATATAGGCCTAAACCTGTTTTAACTGTAAAATTAGGGGGTCGTCTTACACGCCGGAAAATATGGTACATGTGTCAAAATGATGGAACTTTTTTTTATAAATGAGAGATGGCGATGTAACCCAAGGACTGTCTGTAAGAATTGGTGTCTATTTCCTCACCCCTTAAATATGGGCTAGACCGGTGACTTGCTTTAGGACACAGAATGCAAGGCAAGGAATCAGATGCCAGTTCCAAATTTGGGCCTCTGGAATTCCTTCAGTGCTTGTGCTTATTTGTTTATACCCCTGTTTCTACCATGACAACAACTTCATAATACTCTTCTGAAGCATGAGAGACCGCATAGAACGATAGCAGTGGTTGCAGTTGTGAATATCTTAGAACAATCAGTCCCCAACAATTCATCAACTGATTATAGCTGCATGACTGAGCTTAGCCAAGTAAGGCCAACTCCATCTATCCAAGCTCAACAGAGCCAGTGAACTCAATAAATGTTTGTTGTTTATCCCATAAAAATCAATGCTTGAAATTTTATTTATGTTTTAGTGAAGAGTTTTGTGTGGGGAAACTGTAAAAGACTAAATTCACATGGTATCATTGTTTGTAGTACAATCATTTTGGCAAATACAATATATTCTGGCAGTTAATATATGTAAATATTTAGGTCTTGAATAATTTTGTTGTTAAGTCTTTTTCCCTTAATATTATAACTGTGTTCATAGTTATAACTATGATTGCTAAAGCATCTACCATGTGCAAATTGTAACAACAGTGTTTTATAAACAAAATCTTACAAAAAAAATAAGTGAGGTTCTTTATCAGTTCCACTTTACAGAAAAGACCCTATAAATAGGTAAGCAGAGAGTCAGGTTTAAAATTCTGAGTTATCACAAATAAACTCTTTGAACCATAGTATGCTTATCTTACTAAGTTAATTGACTTTTTTCCCTTTTTTAATACTTCATCATATTCATATCTAAGGACACTTGGCTGTATTTTATTCAGATCACATACTGGTACATCAGCTAGGTAAATAAATGTGCAGGGAAAGGAAAAAAAAATAACATTTACCAGGAAGTTTGAACTAATACATAGTCCCCAGTCCCTTATGGTGTCCTTCAAATTGAAATTACATTTGACATTGATGTCTGTGACATTCTCAGAGTCTTCTTTATATGAGTCAATTTCAAAAAATACTACTCCTATTTCATTTTGTGTTATTTCACAATCCATGTGCTGAAAGGCATTTAGGTGCCTGGCACATACTAGGCCCTGCAAAGACAAAAATAAATAAGAAAATGACTTGTCTCTTTTAAACTCTAGCCAGAAGAGAATTTATCTTGAACATTTGAACTTGGAAGAATTTGAGACCATCAAGAACATGTGATTCTAACATGGATTTCTTTGTTTTCAAGATAGAAGTCTCAGGCAAAGGAAGAATATCTACCACAGCAGGGAGAGCAATTGCAACGTCTGAGAGAGATGCAAGGAAGTCATTATGTGCCCATATGTGAAAAATTATAGTACAAATACTTAAAAAGCACCAGAAAAGAAGTGCAGTCCACCACTGTATTAAAAAATTTAGAGATTGGAATTTCTTAATAGATGCCCCTTGTTATTATGGACTTTGACTAAGTATTCCTCTAAAATTTACAATCTATCCACAACCTTACTTAACAAAAAATTCCAGGGTCTTGTTGATCCAATTTCAGTAACAGTGATTCTTAGCAGGACTCATTTTTAACTTATATTTTATAAGTTTTTAAACTAGAGAATAGAAATTGAAACTTAAAGCTTAATAATGGATATAATAATTCTCCCTGTGATTTAATTGGTCTGCTCCTGTTTACCTCGCTTATCATGCTTTAATATAGCAAAAACTGGAAGAAAAAAAAACAGATAAGGAGATAATCTGTATTACTGAGAACATAATAGAAGGCAGAAGCATATATATATATATATATATTATATATATATATATATATATATATATATATATATATAATATATATATATAAAAGGCTAATATGCTAAGTGTCCCTCCAACTGTCCAACTGGTTGCTTTGATATGTACTGACCACTAGGGGGAAAAGCTAAATGCAGGAGCTATTGTAATGCACACTGGCCACTTACAAAGAAACCACATGCAGAACTGGTGCAAACAAATCAACACTCAGCTTCCTTCAGGTGGGGCACAGGCCCCACCACCACCACAGAGCAACACACCACCAAATTGAAACTGATGTTACTGAAACCCCATGGCACAAAATGAGGCCCATAGCCCAGCCCAGCCTAGAAACAGTCTCTGTGGGTGCCCAGGTAATGACATCACATAGCAATGTCTGGCTTTCTCTCCCTAGCCTAGCCTCTCTGGGGTTTCTTCAGCCAAGGAACACAACTTGTTTTATAGCCAGGTGCAAACATTTTACACTTTAACCAAATGTGTGTGAAGTGTTTTTCTGTGCCTCATCTCATTTGATCCTCACAGAAGTCGTGGAGTCAGCAGATAAGAGACTTGGTAGAATCCTACTTTCTTTTCATTCGTCAGAAAATCAGAAATTTAGAAAACTTAGAAACTTGACCCAACTGAAAAGAAGAAATGGTGGAACTTGAAAATGACTTCAGGTTTTCTCACTGTGCAGAATATAGTCAAACATGGCTGCAATTAAATATTTTACCCTTTGTTATCCCTGTATGATCTACAATAATAATCTGCTTCGAGTTGATATTTAGTGCTGTGTTGCTCACAATTACTTGAAAGAGAAGTTGGAGTGCTTCACTGGGCTGGAAAAGTTTAGCTAAATTAGAAAACAGGTCTAATTAAGCAAGTTTATCTATACACTGAGTGGCCAGATTATTATAATCTCTAAATACATAATAATCTGGCCACTCAGTGTATAGATATATATAGATGATAGATGATAGATTGATAGATAGATAGATAGATAGATAGATAGATAGATAGATATAGGTAGATAGGTAGATATATGGATAGATATATTAGAGGCCCAGTGCATGAATTTGTGCATGAGTGGGATCAGGCCAGCCTGGCAAGGGGGAGGGGACATGGGCAGTTGGCTGGCCTGCCTGCTGGTCAAACTCCTGGTCAAGGGGACAAATTGAATATTAGCCTTTTATTATATAGGATATACACTGAGTAGCCAGATTATTATTCATTCAGAGATCATAATAATCTTGCCACTCAGTGTCTATATAACACTTTCACTGGAGGCAATTGCATGTGTCTGTTTCCATCTGTCATTGTGAATCATGAATTTGGTTGACACTTCTATTATAGAGAAAGGGTGACTAGCAATATTAAAATATTTTTTCTAATTAATTTTCTTTCAATGTGCACAAATTTGTGCACTGGGCATCTAGTTAGATCAATAAAAACATTAGAGAAAGAAAGGTATTTCTTTAGATCCTTCCTCTAATACTCTACTGACAATAAATGACAAAAATTATTTCTCTGAGACTAAAATTTCTCATTCATAGAAGTTGAGCACTGGCATGTTGGAAGAATCCTATTTGATATACTTATGGAATTTACTACAATGCTTGCCATTTAATAAGTGATAAATATTAGCTGTTGATGACAGAAAAGGGATTACAAGTTAAATGAATACATAAGTGAAAGTTGGTTCTTACCATGTTCTAGCTGCAGTCCAATTCGGGAAGGGCACCACTTAGGATCTATTAAATGAAAAGTAACATTTAACTGTCAGCACAAATGTAAAACAAGTTTTAAAATTTAGAAATTTTCATTGGAAGACGGATTAGATTTTAGGGCACAGTAAATGGTTACCCAGTGTCAGAAATGGAAATATTGGTTCCCCTTGCAGGGTGCTGAGAAGAAAGCAAGACAGAAGTTTGAGGGGTGGTAATTTTCTGCTTTTATACCTAGGGAGTGGGCAGGTAGATGCATTCATTCTATAAACATGTACCAAGGTACGTGACCTATGTATGACTTGTGCACTTTGTACAAGTTATTCTTCAGTAAAAAGCCTAAACATCTCCATTTAAAACTGGAAGGCTTGCCATGGCCAGGTGGATCAGTTGGTTGGAATGGCATCCCAAACACCAAAAAGATTGTGGGTTTGGTTCCCATTGATTCCCTGTAAGGGAACATACCTAAGTTGTGGGTTCAATCACTGGTCAAGATGAACAGGGGAGGGAACTGATATCTCTCTCTCTCTCTCTCTCTCTCTCTCTCTCTCTCTCTCTCTCTCTCTCTCTCTCTCTCTTCTCCCAGGAGGATATTTTTCCATTGACTTTTAGGGACAGTGGAAGAGAAAGGGAAAGACAGAGAGAAGCATCGATGTGAGAGAAATACTTTGATTGCTTGCCTCCTGCAGGAGCCTGGCCCAGGCCCAGGCCCAGGGAGGAACCTGCAACCAAGGCACTTGCCCTTGACAGGAATCTAACCTGCAACCCTCTGGTCCATGGCCAACGCTCTCTCCTCTGAGCCAAACCAGCTATATGGCTTCCTCTCTCTTTTTAAAATTAGTAAACACAACCTGGGGTGAGGATTTAAAAAAAAATGGAGGACACTGATCTCATGTAAAATGTATTTTAAAATACTGGCATGTGAAAGTGGCATCTTACTGTCTCTATAAGAGTAAGGCACTTTATCTGAATAATATGTATTATTGACTTTTAATATTATAGGCATATTGATCATAGTAGAAAAATCACTTCAATGTCTCCTACTTATACTACCACTAAGAATAAGTAGGTTACTAAAGAATCCTATCTTTCTTTATCAAATGGATAAAGAAATAAAAATCTTCATTATATACTGCCATGATAAAAATGTTGGTTCACAATTACCAGAATATTATAATTTTCTTCTAAAATAAATTCTATGTTATTTTAAAGTCTATTGAAAATTTAATTCTTGACTGTGTGATCCACTTTTAAGCAAAGAAACTTGATAAATAATAAATTAAGAGCATTTTCAAAGAAATATTCCACAATTATTTTGTTTTTAAAACATTACTTTTTAAAGTATTCATTAAGAATGATGATAATGTGACATAACTAGACTATTGCAATCAATTCTCTGTAAATTTACTGCAAAAAGGCTATTTATACATGGAGATACTAATGATAAAATAACTCATAAGTCAAAAAATATAAGCACCAGTAAAAAGATATTTAGGATTATATGTAAACAAAATTTACGTATGATATGTAATAGCATGGCAAATGAAGAAGGGATAAGTGTTTAACTCTGGCATTTCCTTTTTTTAAATTATAAAATATGCATATAAAGGCACATTATTTTTATTTACTAATGTAATTGTTATTATTTATATAACCATTTGCTCTTCTGGAATATATGCTAATATTATTTGTTGAAAAATATTTTAAAATAGCTACCTTATTAGTCATAGTAAAAATCTATTTTCAAAAAGATATAATGCAAATGAATTCAAGAGAGACTTCAATAGTTTTAATTGAGTTTCCCATCTTGAGTATTAGAAGAAGTACAAAGCTTGTGAGAATCCAGTTATATTGAACAAATAATTATTGAGCACCTGTGATTAATGTACATAAGCTATCATGGTCTGACCAATCCAATAATATTCATGTAAGACATCATTTTCAGTACTGCTATTTGATCTCTTTAATAGTGGGAATGTCAATGTAAAACTAAATCTATAATTCTAAGAAAATATATATGTCTATGAACCACATAAGTGAATACTGACAGAACCCACAATGATGATGAATAATTAGAACTTAGAAGCTCTAACACATTCAGGAAAATCCATGTCTTTTCAATTCTTTTAATATGGCTAAATTATAAAACTACTTATGAAATACACTTGGCATTTATAGTTGTAATCTTTGAGCACTGTATGCTAGTGTAAGAGTTATTAACTATGTCAGCCTTTAGATTAGTTTCAGTTATTTTTAATTTCCTCAGTTATCTTTTAAAACAACAAAATACACATTATCTGAAAAGTTCTGTACTTGTGGAGTGAGATAGCATAGGCTAGAAGAATGGTGAGGGGAAAATACTATAAAGGTTAAAGGAGATAGGTTACAAAAGGGATTTTAGTAGCATGAATAGAAGATTATTTATAATGTTGAGTATATAGAACTTGGAAAACTGTCTGACAGCTGAATTATGATTATGTAGTAGGTCTAATGCATCATCCAGGATCTTAAATTATCTAAGATGCTGAACTTGATTTGTATAACTCTTACCATATTTTAGCCAAGCTTTAGACTTTTTTTTCCCTAATAAGTAGAATTGCTCATATCACGATGTTATAACTTTCTAAATATGCAATATATCCATGTAATTCAAATATATTTATTTTTAAAAGGTAGAATTTTCCAAACTATTGGTTGTGACTCTTTAGTAAGTTAAAAAAAAATGTTATCAGTATGTTATTCTTAACATTATGGAGAGGAAAGGGGAGGGGAGGGGAAGGGAAGAGAAAGGAGAGGAGAGGAGAGGAGAGGAGAGGAGAGGAGAGGAGAGGAGAGGAGAGGAGAGGAGAGGAGAGGAGAGGAGAGGAGAGGAGAGGAGAGGAGAGGAATAGACTAAAGTAAAAATGGATTGTCATAGTGTCATAGCACTGGATGCAACACATTAGAATAAATTCTAGATAGATAGGTCAAGTATTGTTTTTGGAACTTTGGTTTCAATAGTTTCAATATTTTGTTTTTATAAGACTAATACTCTAGAGCAGAATAAAAAATATTTGAATTTCATTGATCCAAAAATACATTTTTAAAATGTCCTAAAGCATTTTTATTATACAGCTTTTACATAAAAAATTTTGTCCTCACTGATTTAATGAAATCCTATAACATAAAATAGATTTGAAGGGTTTAAATATTTTACTTCTTCAAAAAGATTTAAAGTTTTGAATTATTAAGGAAGAGGGCAATGATATAAATTATATTAGATTTAAATCATCTAAAATATGTTATAAGTCTGATTTGCTCAAGAACATAGGCCAGATGCCTGCCCTTATTTTCTTTTAATCTAAGGACATGTTGAGGCTATAATTTTTATTATGATTATTGCTTCTTCTATAGGAAATTGGTCAGCAGTATATATTTTAACTTAAATGCACAACTTGTATTTTCCCAGGTCCAACTTTAGACATGATAAAAGTTGGCAATAGACAAGTGAATTGAAATATTGTATTCTTGACATAATGGTGGCATACAGATATAGAGCCAATTAGTAATCAAAACATACAGACCAATATTTATAAAGATGAAGTTACTTAGTGAGGATATAATTTATAAGATAATTGATAATTTTTATTGTAATATGAAACCTATGCTTCATATTATTATTGAAAGAAGAGACATAAAAAAAAGGCAGAGACTTTTTCAGAAATAATTAATAACCTGATTACCTTGCATTGCTCACTGAAAACTCTACATAAAACTTGCTTCCTAGTCTCTACCCTTTCTTGGTATCACCAATTCTATTGTAGTAGGAAGGATAAATACTAAGAGCTGTTAGAGTCAGTTATAAAAAATTATTATGATATAAAATAGATCATTAGAAAATATCCTAAGTAATATTGCAATAATTATTAATGATATTAGATGGATACTAGACTTATTAGGATGATCATCCTGATATATAAAAAGCCAGAGGCCATCACAACCTAAATGACCAGATGGCTGACCAAACAGCAGGCTAGGGTCCCAGCTGGTATGGTGGGAGTCAGCCCTGGGTCCTGGCCACCACAATGCAGTGGTGGAAGGGATCTGTGGGAACCAGAGCCATGCTAGGATGGGACTGGCCTCTTGGTCCCTCCCTCTGCTCACAGGCTGTGAGGAACCAGAGCCACCCTGCAATCTGGGAATCATGGTCCCTCCCCACTGCCTGCTGGCTTCTGGGTCCCAACCCCTGACCTATCTCCAGGCTCCAGGGAACCAGAGCCATGTTGTGATTGGACTGGCCTCTGGGTCCCTCCTCCCAACCTTCAGGCTCTGGAGAACCACTGAATGCATAAATAACTGGAACAGCAAAATTGATGTTTCAATGTCTTTCTTCTTTCTGCTCTCTACCTAAAAAATCAATTTTGCGTATGTTGAATGGTAATTATAGTTTGTTTTATTTTTAATGAATAGAGAGTTAAAGTCATATTATAAAGAGCTGAGAAGGAGTGGGTGGGCACTAAATATTAAGACTTAAATTCCTGGATAATATAACATTGAATCGTCATGAAAATTTTATGTGATTGGCATTTTACAAGTAGTGAAGAGGAAAAAGGCTCTGGAAAAGAACAAAGTGGTGACAGCCCCATGCCGGAACAAGAAGGAGCAGATGGAGTTTCTGTAGCAGGACTCTGAGTGGCTGGAGCTCATGAATGTGGAGCTGAGAACCCAGATGGAGGAGCTGAAGCAGGAGCGGCAGCAGCTCATCCTGATGCTCAGCCAGCATCGCCCCACCTGCATGGTCAGGACTGAGAGCATTAAGACCCCCGACTGAAAAGGCAACCCACTGCTGGAGCAGCTGGAGAAGTGACCATGGACTGGGAGGAGAAGGAAGAGATGAGGAGACAGAGGAGGAAGAGGGCTCTTCCTTGCTGCATGAAAACTCTTCAGTGAGGCTCAGCACAGCCAGCATCAGACGGGCTTTTTGTGAAACTCAGATCAGCCACACCAGGGGAAGAAACCCAGGACCAAGCACTGAGACCAAAGCTAAC